TGTGTGTGGACATGTCTGGGAGCAGCAGTGTGTGTGTAAGTGCATGTGTGTGTGTGTGTGTGTGGACATGTCTGGGAGCAGCAGTGTGTGTGTAAGTGCATGTGTGTGTGTGTGTGTGTGTGGACATGTCTGGGAGAGCAGTGTAAGTCTGTTTGGCCCAGCGCCTCGTCCTGATAGCCTCTGGGAAAGTCCTCTGCTAGAGCAAGGTGAGCAGTGCAAGATTTTCTCCCTCCCCAGGGAGAGGGGCAGCAGCAGCTCAGCAGACATTTTCAGAGGGTCCTGAAGGTATTAAAATTGTATCTTAGTAACCCTTCCACTAATTATGTGTAATTTATAAAGCATATAATGTGTTTATAATTATAAATATGGGTACTTACTCATATGCACATATATGTATTCTAAACATATAGCTTATAGGTAAATATATATTTAATACATAAATATGCAAGGTTTTTTTCTGAAAGACGACCCTTGCTGCCAGCTGAGTCTTTTCCGAGATGGCGTCGCTGTTTGCTTGAAAGGCTAGGCAAGTCTGGAGTGGCAGCTCACACCTGTCATCCCAGCCTCTTAGGAGGCTGAGGCAGAAGGACCTCTTGAGGCCAGGAATTCAAGACCAGTCTGGGTAACAAAGTAAGAAAATGTCTCTAAATTAAAAGAAGAAATTTAGCTGAATGCAGTGGTGGTGCTGTGGTCCCATCTACTCTGAAAGCCTGAACATGTGACTAGTTGGGGTGACCTAGTAAGACCTCCTTTCTAAATATACGCATACATACATACATACATACACACAAGGCAGAGTGCATCAGTGAGGGATCAGTGAAGAAATGCACTATTTTAAGCAGGAAGAGATTTAATGCAGGAAGTTAAGTGTTAACAAAAAGTGGACACCAGGTTCCTAGCACAAAACAGAACTCACTCCCTAGAAAAGCCACTATAGAGACACAGACCGTCACTGTGATCCGGGGACAGGAAGCCAGAACTGATTTGAGGCTGTTGCTGCTGTAATAGCCTCTAATCCCTTGGGATGAAGAAGGGTAACAGAGAGCTGGGCAGGGGCCTAACTTTTCCAGGACTTTGTTTCCTAGCAGAAAAGAGGGTAAGGGGAAAGCAGACGACCCCTGTGTCACTTCCACCTTCCAGACCTCACACATTCTAATTTACACAGAGAATATAGCTGTGAGTGAACATTGGAAGTGTAGTTTCCACATCTCCAACCAGAGGGGTGTGGGGTGGAAATGGAGAAGGCCAATTCACATTATTCACCATATGGAGAGGCCATTGTCCAGCCTGGTGTAGGAGGGCTGGTCCAGGGACAGGAAGCCAGTGTGTGTGTGTGGACATGTCTGGGAGCAGCAGTGTGTGTGTAAGTGCATGTGGGTGTGTGTGTAGACATGTCTGGGAGAGCAGTGTGAGTCTGTCTGGC